TCTGCTGTTCCTGAAGGAGCAGAAGAGCACGAGTCCGTTCGCCGTAGCCATATCATTTCCATTGGGTTTCGCTCTGACGAGGATCACGCTATTCTTGATCGCCTATCAGAATGAGGCTCCAGATACCCCGGATCGCGAGGGCTCCTAAATACACTGTGACACCAGATTCAGTGGGACGCTGGGGAAAGCTAGCATCCAGCGACAAGTTCCATCCGGAAGGACTCCTCTCCGAAGATGACACGGTGTGGAGTAGCCGGGGCTGTAACTGTCCGTCATGCTTCGCTACGCTATGGATGAGAAACATAATCATGTCATCCGCGTAGGGAGACACTAATCATATGGCTGGCGGGACGAGGAGCTCCCGCGACCCAGTTCCGACTGTGCGGTTCATTGGGGAACCGTCCCCGATTTGTTGTCACATTTACTCTCCTCCGCGGGTCGTATGTTTGTGTGAAACGTCCACGTTGTTCGGAGTCCTCTCCGAGTTAGGCCGTGGACGCGGGGCTTCTTCCTTAGACGCGCTAGCTTCCCGAGGGATGTATTCCTCTAATGTTTGCGACACTGAGTTTGTTTTTCAAGGAAGTCTTACGGGACATCTGAAGGTCTACTCAGTCTTGCAGCGAAGCCGTTGCCATGCCGAGGCGTAGTAGGACCGGAAGCATGATTCTGTAGGAGTGTGGAATGGATCTCAGCAAGCGCTGGACTGCACGACGGGGAATGCGGAGGAATGGGATGACACCACCGATCTTGTCTCACTAGAATGAAATAATTGACTGGATTATAGGCAACGGGGTTCTCCGAGATCGAATCCCCAACTAGGTAATCGGGCTCACGGGATGGGGAGTCGAAACTGCAGACTAGTCTGTGGGAAGGTGCTGGGCGTCGGTCTAACCATGCATGGTCGCGTCAGCTTCGAAATCAGGCTTTCGAAAAGGTGCTCGAGATCCCTCCTCTTACCGCTCCTCCCAGCTCCGACCGGGAAAATACCTCCTTGCTCAACCCACAGCGGGACTAGGCGTTGTGAGAGGGAACATTACGAATCGCTCTGGTGAATCGAACATTGCCCATTTCTTGCTTTGATGAGGAAGTTCCCGATTGTAGATCCTCTCTCCTCATACTACGAGCCGATCACATCTATCGGGAAAAATGAGCCCCATCTGCTTCTTAAATAGGCAATGCACGCCATTTCGCTAGTTTCTCCGAAGTCTGCTTTCGGCCGCGCCCCATCGCAGAGCTAGCAACGGATCGGAAAGAAGACGACCCCAGTGCAACGAGCTTGCAAATGTGTCAACAGTCTTGAGTAGCAGCGGGATATTCGGCACAAGGAGGCAAGTCCGACTCACTCATGGGATGACCTTTCCCTTGAACTCTTCCGAAAGCGGGCGGCTTGCGATAGCTCCACATTTGAGGAGGTCGACTCCCCACCTGTTTATTGCAGGAAACATGTGGCAGCGAACTGAATCGGCATAGATGCCATCCAATTCGACGCGTCCGTATGGACCAGGACCCCAGGATGTTTGGCTCAATTCGGCGTCGAATAAGGACCATGCGCGCTCCCTCGATCTCTTAGAATCCCTCAGAGGAGGTGCATTACGCTCGACGATTCGTCCACGATTCTTAGAATGCAGAGTATTGAGGCAGATCATGAAGTTCCCCAGAGAGCGGCTATATTCCGTGACAGAGATCCGCTCCCGAGGCCGTTGTGAAAACGTGACCTGTACTGTGAGCGGGGGACGTCACCCGCAATATGTCTTCATCTCAATTGATTCTGCTCGTTTCTCACGGGCGAGAGTCCTCAGCTGAGCTCAGTTTCGGATGAGAATGAGGGAACGACGACGATTCTCAAGGGTCGCCCCCGTATCATCGGATTCCGGGTCATGACGTAGACTGAAGATGCAATCCCAATGACAAATCATGGCACGCACTTGCCGCCAAACGTCCCTCTTCAAAACCGATTGGGGGATCTCTTTCTCCTCTCTGTCAATTAGAGACTGAGATGAGAAGTTAGACCCGGGAAAGGATTGGAGGGAGCGAGTTCAGGCTGCTTAGACGAGGACCGAGGTTCAAGGTCGACTCCTTGATGCTATCGGGTAGAGCCCACAGAAAAGTCTAGCCTTAGATGAGGGTGAGAGGAGCATTATCTTCGAACGAAGGATCGTCAGAAGGGAGTTGAGGACACCGGCACCTTCCTCCCATAGTGTATCAGCAGGCAAGGTGCACAGCATATGGCGGTGGCACAGAATCGGGCGTCCGTGATGTCTCTCACGCGAATGCCGCGGAGTAGCATGAAGCATTGGGCTTCTCGTCCCAAGCGAGTGAATGACGTCAATGTGTCGCCATGTCCTCTCATGGGACCCCACGAGCTCGTAATCGGGGGAAAAGATATCGCCGCAGCAGACCTAGCGGAATCACTGGTTTCCCAGAGACGCTCTCGGCTCCGTTGCGCTGGCTCACATTCGCTCTTGGGAATCTCTTGAAGCCTGAAAAGTGTCATTTTGCTTTGCGGTCTGAAGCTTTTCGACGTCTTGGCGCCTCATTCTCGGCGCGGAACGCGTAGACCAGATGGAGAAAGTCATCTGGAGGTCCTGCTCGCAATCACTCTCGTGAGTAAGGAGCAGTGGAAAACATTGGCGTAGAAACCCTGATTGCGCCTCGAGACCTGAAAACGCCCCGCGGCAGAGGGAGATCACTCGGCTGTACCGAGATGTGAGCTTGAAGCGCGAGCCGAAGCCGAGTCTCGGACTTCGGGGGTGGAATATAATGACGTATTCTCCAGAATAATTCCCCGGTCCCATTCTCGAAAACCGGGCCGCGAGTTCCAGCGTAAGAGGCTTGACTTCGACGGATGGGAGAGCAGGTGGGGGAATTTATGGGTTTCGCCGATGAGCTTCGCATGAAGGCAGAGCGAATCAAAGACTGTGGCCGCTTTCGAAATCTGCGCTTCAAAGTTACGGGAAGAAAGTCACCATTCCGCCACTCCTAGCTTTCTGTCGGATTTATCATCCCCCTCCCGCCTCCTGTGAATATCATGCGGTAAGCCGGACGGAACGTCAGAGGCGTGGTCGAACGCCTTGCTACTGCGGAAGCCTATGAAGTGATGGAGCGAGAAGTCTTCCTGTAATTTGGCAGGAGGAATAAGCAGTTGGACTGAACCTATCGCGGTCTTGATTGCGTCATTTATTCACGCATTAATTATTCGAGTTAAATATCCACGTGGCAAATGGTTGTTCCTTTTACATATTTGCAGTTTGTCCCATTCTCACCAATACCGTCGCTCTCATCGCCATCACCGCCATGATCATCCGTGGAATATGTTCATCCTCCTTTCAATCCTTTCACTATATTTCTCATATGGGTTACGGGTATTGCTATCGTTGTTCCTGCGGCTGCTGTTCTCGTTTGTTGCGGGATCATTGACTCAGCTGATGGACCCACGAAACGTAGGAGGTTCTCACTGTTTTTCTTCGTGTTGTCTTGCGTCATGATGCAACGAGTCAGACATGACGGACCGTTCTCCAAAGGAGCCGACTGAGAATCTTTTCGCGAACCTATATGAGGAGAGGAATGGGTATCTAAAATATTGAATTTCTCCATTCAACAGTCCGATAAGAGAAACGCTCTCGGTTTGGGGGAGATAGATTCCCCGATATCAGCTCTCTAGAAATGAATGGGTCAAAGGGTGTATACAGTGAGACAACGATTGGTCGCGACGTTCCGATGCTCCACGAATCGTACGAAACAGAAATCGGTCAACCATCAAATACAAACTAGGCTCGACTCGCGAACAGACCTCCGAGAAGGACGGGAGCTCGTTCGTTGATAAGTTCTACTCGAACCTAAGAGCGGGGACGCACACTTCGACAAGCAAATACATGAGCTGGAGAACAGGCAAGCGACATTGTACATTATTGACGGATCCAGCACTTCGGCAAGATTGTTTCTTATCCCGATTGATAAACAGAGGCTGTCTGACGGAGTATTGTTCCATATTGTTCCATATATGTAGGTACAAGCTGTCTCCTTATTCGCTGCCCCACCGTGTCTGGCTATCGAGAGCGGCGAGAAAATCGTTCGACGACGAACAACAGCAACGGCATTGGCAACGTGCGTCTCGATGGCAATGCCCCCCTCCGCTAAGCTATTCGCAACATCAACAATCAGAATGGGAGCTATTGCCATCGAAACGAGCATGAGTATGATCGGAACGAGCATGATATAACTGTTCATTATCATCTCAGCCATCGTGAGATCTCATGGGTCATGTACATTTTTACAATCGCCAGCGAAACGAGGATCGGAGCAGTCAGGAAGACACCAACCCCGTTGTGTTTTCGGGCTAGTCGGAGCTATGGACAGTTTTGAACATGTGGTACTCTTTTCCTCTCATTTTATCTGCTTTTCCGTACAACGATAGGGTTCACGCTCACATGTCTCAACCATTCCCCCTCTCTTATAATAATCCAAGATACATTGGCTGGCTAGGTTCCGGCTCAAGAACGACGCCCGGGAAACATCAGAGAGCAACATACGAGAAAAGGAAGCGTATTGGGCAAGTTATGAAATTCTTCAAGATCTCGAGACCACTCTTCTGGAGGGATTCGACCCACTTTCGGTGGTACCGTCAGACTTGGTTCGGAGATTCTGTATTCGTCGGAACTCTATGAAATCGAGCAGTATTTCACGAAGGGTTCCCTTGGAGGCCTTCCGGGGACATTTCGGACACAATGTGTCTCAAAGATGATGCTGGCGGTGATGTCAGCGACGATAACAGCGATAACGTCAACAATGATGACATCAGTATCAACGTAACTCTCAACAAGGACATTGGCCGCCGTCGGATGCATTGATGCTCCTCTCCAGGGAAGGAACCCGAAACCGGTCCGGACCCTTCCTTAATGTGCACGTTTGGCTGCTCGCACGTATTAATGCATATTCAGGCGCGGTCGAGCTCATCCACGTCGTCCGCCTCCTTCCCGTTGGTCACTCTAGTTGTTGAAGTCCTAGGCGTGATTCGTGACGTGAATGTTCCCGTTGCCCTCGGCAGCCGCTCCCTGAATAAACGAATTAGATATTGAGGCTTTGTTCATTTCACTTCCTGTCTGTGTCGCCGCCGCTGCCGTGCTCCACCCCGGCGTCAGCGCGACCACAGCTTTCATCGATGCCTGAGAGGCCGGGAATCCTGAGCCCGAGTTTTTTTTTTATCAGGGATTTCACTACTTATGAGGAGGAGGTACCTCGAGCGTGTAGGTGCGCAGGTAATAATCATCCCGAAGTCGACTATTGAGCGTAGACCAGTGACAACGCAGAAGCTCCCTGAAGGCGCGGCGGAAGTCCTGATGGAACGTTACGTATATGACTGGATTCAACATCGAGTTCGAGTAGCCGAGCCATAACGTGAAACTTTTGATGGCCGGTCCGGGATCGTATTTTATGAGCGGCTCGAGCAGGGCAAGGATGAAAAACGGCACCCAACAGATCGTGAATGCACTCATGATTATGCCGAGAGTGATTGAAGCCTTGCGTTCGCGCATCATTGTCGAGCGTTTCATGTTGTTGTGCCAATTGTGCGGAGCCGAAGACACGCCAGCCGACGTCTTTATCGAGTCGTCCGCGCCATTGCTCATCTCGGAGTTGCCCCCGTGCCACCCGTCGCCTTTATTCAGGAGAACCTGAAAGGGAGACAGCCGCTTCATGTTTATCGTAGATAGGTGTCTGGAGTCTGGAATCATTCCGCCAAAAAAATGACAACACGTCGGAGTGAAGGAGCGCCGCACCCAATCCGTGCCCCGTCAGACGCCATGAGAATATTCATTAGACATCAACAGACCTGAGGGTTTATCTGTGCTCGTTGATCTGCGTCTACAACACGTTTTGCCGCAGCGTAAATCTTGTAGTACATCACAATCATGATAATCAACGGGATGTAAAATGCACCTGCAAACAAAAGCACGTTTGGTGCCCTGGTACGAATCGGAGATTCGACGACTACTACAATGAACTTGATATTCGACTCGTGCTGATAACGCTTCCTTAATCGTGACGATCATCCATCAGAGCTTTCTGTGGCGAAATCCGAGTTCCTCAAGCCACATGCGGACTAAACAACCAGCAATCGTCTCACCTAACGTCGCGTAAAGTTGGTAAGCTATGCTTTGGCAGACCTGACACCCGGGCTCCTCGTCAGTTCCGTGCTCATTACCTGGAACGCGAGAGCTGATTAGTCTTCGTTTCCTCATTAGTCTTCATTTCCTCATGTCTGTCGCGACGGTCAATGAAGATAATGTTACCGCAAACCGATGTTCCTGTTTGACCTGTTTATCTTTCGGAATGAACTTAAGACCTGCTCGTGCAACCTGATTCCTCAGGTTTCAGCTCTCGAGACCCTCAAGGAACTCGATTTACTGATACCACACATTTATTTTCCGTCGGGGAAGAGAAGGGGCGGAGAAGGAGCCGTCCAGAGGTGACTGACTTCTCGGCTCTCTCGTGGCCTTCGACTGCTCCGAGAGGAAATAACGCGGATTCGAACCCCGCTCGTTTCCGCATCGGTTTCACTCCGTCAAACACGACGATATTCCATCCGGATGGGACGCTCTCGCAGCGACTGACCACCGGGGACCTCAGGGCCTCAGGGGGGTGAATAATCGCAGGAGCTTCCGAACTGGGTCGATGATTAGGGTCGCCGCGATGTGTTCCCAGTCATGAAGGTAGAGAGCGCGATTCTCCATACCATCGACGAGCTAACTCGATAATCGGACGCAGCGTTCTCCAATTATCCCACATACACATGTCAGTCAGGGAGAAAGAGAGGAGGCTGACTAGACCTTGACAACAATTGCTGGAATGTGCTCGCACGGTTCAGACTCTCCGATTTGGTACTCGGGTAAAGATGGCAGAATTCAGACCACTTGGTGAGTTTCATAGGCGGGGAGTGTGAGAAAGGAGAATGAGCGGGATCGGCGAACATGAGCGATTTCCGGAAATTCTCGCCCTGGACTAGTCGGCGCACTGCGTCCGACAGCGAGGGACTTCGTGGATGATGGAGAACATGGGTAGTTGATAAAGCCAATCCCATCTCTCACGTCGGCGGCCTGCGGCGGTTTTAGGCGGAGCAATCATTTTTTGCTTGGGACTGCTTGGCTCCATCTTCTTTCGGTACGTTGTCGCCAGCCACGAGTGTCAATCCGCCTGACCTGACTCTACAAGGTGTAAAGCTTACCCAGAATCACCTGTTGAGCACTCACCTAAAACAATCACAGGTGGGATCGAGATCAAACATGCCATGGTCCAAACGCCCGCCACATACACGCAGATTCGTTTTGAGGTTCGCCGAACTCCGTATGTCAAAGGTCGCGTGATGGCCATATAACGATCCACGGAGATCATGCAGAGGTTCAGTATGGATGCCGTACACGAAGCTACATCGAACGAGACCTTGAAAGAGAATGATTGTGATCCTTCAGAGAATTGAGTGAGGACATCTCGATGAATCAAACGGATTATTCTCAGAGATACAGAGATGAGATTTGGTCAACAGGTTGTAGCAAAAGCTGCTCGGAGAGATGATCCTTACCCAGAGGTCGCATATCGTGTTCCCGAGATACCATTTACCAACAACATCGAAGTACATCGCGAACGGCATGACGAGAAGTGCAACGCACAAGTCTGATACGGCCAGCGATACGAGGAGGTAGTTTGATGGATGACGCAGTCGTCGCACGCTCATCACCGAAACGCACACGAGAATGTTCCCGATGGCTGTGACCACGATGATGCAGGACAGCACTGTAGAGGGAGAAAGCAGCGACATGTACAAAACAGCTACAGGTTCCCCTTCTCCCCCCGGAGCTCATTCTCAAAGAGGCTCCTTGTCAGGCGGATTCCTTGTTCGACCCCAGAGTTCGCTGAGACGGACGAAGTCACCAGGGAGAGAATGAATCTATGGAACAGACGTATACCCCGATTGAGGGAATCGTATTCGGCTCTGATTTCGGTCTCTTCCGGGCCATCAGTTTTCGTTTTCGATGCAGCTTAGCGTTGAGTACAACCCCGAGTTGGCTCGCTCGTTGCCTTCTGGGAACATCCGCTGCAGCAGAGGCATCTATGCATGTAAAGACTAGCCGGCAGGAACGTCTATCAAATTGAGACGCAGCTGTGAGCGAAGCGTGGGTCGGACAAGATGCCTCGAAGTCTTTCCACCCTTGAGCTCTGCTCAAATCCCCATGGAGAAACTCACCGAAGGCCTTCAGTGTCGCCGAACCCTCGTTGCTCAAGCTTTGCTCAAGAGGAGTGAGGGCGGCGTTGATCTCCAGCGGGGTATAGTTGCCGAAGAGAATTCCTTTCAATCTGTCGGAGCCCAAGAGGGGCTCATCGTTTTCGGGCATGCCCATAATCTAAACGGTTCTCCTCGACGAACTCATCTCTGGCGTGCCCTCCGGATATGTCGATCGGGTCCGAAACCTGGAATTCGAGAAGAACTGAATCTTATTATTTGAATTATCTTCGAGCAGCGAGTATTCTTCGAGAATCGAGCTGAGGAGAAGCTTGCAATTCAATGACTTGATGACTTTGTTGGGCTTGTCGAGACTGGAAACCGAGCGGACCGCAATTCCCTGGACATCGTTGGGCCGATTCCCGCCATTCAATCAACTTCCACGGGGGGAAACCCGTCCAAGAAAAGGGGGGCATCAAACGGATCTCGGCGTGACAGCTGCAGCCGCATCGATCCGATTGTATCAATTCTCGTATAATTGAGTTCTCGGACACTTGTCTCGCGGAGCAAGTTCCAGGCAGAAATAAGAGTTTCTCTTCCAATGGCAAATAAGCCTCCAGTATAAATGAGCTTACAGAAGGCATCGCAAGCGACAAACCCGTTTCTCTATTATCTCGTACGAGGCGAGAACGCGGAGCATCTCATCCACTTTCTGCATCTCTTGCCATCCTAGTCTGAAGTTCCATCATTTTCCAGACAATGAAGATGAACATGTTGATAGCTGCAATCGCCGCTGTCGCACTCGGACAGGACGGGCCAAGTGAGAGGATGATGTTCGAAGCTTGTGTTTGAGGGAAGAAAAACCTGAGGTTTGTAATCCTCAAAGACGCACCAGTACTGGAAACACGGCCCAGGACTCTGCCCTCTCTCATTTCTCGTTCCCTCGGACATTCCACGAGCGGGTCGATTCGATTAGAAGAAGGCATTCGCGACCACTGCGCAAGGGGGTACATACAGTGGCGGTCAAAATAATAGAGCCACCTAAAAACTTCGTCTTCTTTTTTCGGAGGTTTGTAACTTTTCAGAAAATCCACCGAATCGGACGTTTTTTTTTTTGAAATCGAAGAGAATTTGATGAGCTTTCCAATGAACCCGTCTATTTTGACATTTGAATGCGTTTTGAGAGACTTTCAGCCATCTCAATATCGCTTATTTTCGAAATTTTCTATCTCATTTTAAAACCCTCATAAGTCGGGACGAGGGTATCGCATCGGCGCGGTGTGGTCGGCATCTTGTAGCGCGGGAAAAGAGCTGTCGATTCGTCTATTCACTTTCAAAAATCGGTTCACCTGGAGCTGAGAAAAAGTTCGTCTGCTAAGTGGAAGTAACGGTCAAAATAATAGAGCCACCCCCCCCCCCATAATAGAGCTGGAAGGCAAAAGGTCGTCTCTTTGATCCGTGCATAAGTCAAGTGGGTCTGGCATGCGCATCGGAAAGCCCGTCTTCCGTAGCGCGGAATTGCTTTTTTATTTTCTCAGATCGGACCAGTTTCCGTGGAGTTATGCACGGTAGACATGCCCGGAGAAGAAAGGGAACGGGGAAACGAGTGGGAAACGGTGAACGGAACGGGCCGAACAGAGGAAAGAAGTGTAAGAGCAGGAAAGAACGGATAAGAAACGGAATGGAAGAAAAAAAACGAGAACAACGCAAGAAAACGGGAGACGACGAATGAGACATGGAAAGGAAGGGAAGTGGCAGAAGTATGGGGAGGATCGGGAAAACATCGGTTGTTGAGGACAAGAATTTTGAGCAATGAAGAGACGATTGTCTTGGCGGGAGCGACCGAGGCCACGAGTGTTGCACTGACACTGATTCGTACGCGACGCTTGCAGCAAGATGGGGAATCTGCGTGTATGTGTCGCGTGGGTCGTGCTCCAGGGGGCGCGATCTTCTGTCGCTGCACCATTCCCTCGAACCCATTCAGGGGAATCCCTTGTTATAGCGGACATGCTCAATTCCTCTCCGATGATAAGCAGAGATGCAGGTCAATAAAATGACGGAATCAAGATAGAAAGATCGGATTTATTCGTACAATCGATTAATTTCCGAAAATGGTCGCGACTTTTTCAGTCTTTCGAAGCAGCTTGTGAGCTATCGCTCCCATCAGCGGAGGGAAGCTCCGGAACGGCTCGCCCATCTAGAGCTACATCAAGATTCGTCGCTCCTTCTCGTCGCGCAGGGGATAGAGCTGGAAAATTTCTCATTAGCATGGTGTTACGGAAAACGTCATCCCGGAGCCTCTCACGGCTATAGTGTTTGATCCTCCTAGCGCGTGAGAAAGCCCTCTCAGACGGTACACTTGTAGGTTTGATTGCATCTAGAGCCGCTATCACGGTTTTCAAGACAGGGTTCATTTGTACATTCAGGCTTGTGGCATTCTGCTCGTACTCGCTAATTATGCGGTCAGCTTTTCGGACGAGTGACGATGCAGCAGATGAAATGGCTCAGTATCTTGTTGAATCCTGACGCGTTGGCTTCCAAAGCCTCGATGAGCGTCTGTAATTAATGAGAGCCAGGAGCCAGGATTACAATTATTACATTTGGAATTCATCGACGGTTCCGCGCGCATTCCTCCGCAGGTCGAAGGAATCGTCCACTTGAAAGCAAGAGTCGTGACTCGCGAGCTCATTTCCGTTATGATTTATCCATTATCGATGAACATCAAGTTGATGCCATCAACTCATCAACTGTCGATTCAGAGAATATCATCCAATCCTAAGGTCCTCCAGCTGCGGTGCCAAGTCTCTACCTCTTGCACCAGCACGGATTCCCATTCGAGAACGAAACTCACCATCAGCACTCGCAACGTCAAGGAATGAGACATCGGGATCAGGATCAAGATCAGTTGTCTCGGCCGTTGGCGATACGCGTCGTTTGCGACCGCTGGGCTCGATGCGCAGCGACTCACTATCCGACGCTGCGCTATCCGCCATCGCCAGGCCAGACGAACGTCTCTGAACTTCGTCTTCGAAAGCATTTATACATCATTCTTAGCCGGAGGCGGTTCTACACACGAGCTTCCAAGGATTTTGATAGCTATAGTCGGGAACCCGGCATCGAACCGACGCCACCTCATTCGCGACCTCTTGTCGGAGAGCACGTTTGAACGAGGGAAACGCACGCCTTGATCACTCGACCACCCGTCGATGGACCTCAAGTCCGAGCGGAGATACTAAAGAGCTCGTCGATACATCGACCCGCCGATTCTGAGGCCGATAAAGAACAACGAGCATGCCTCTGAAATTTTTTCGTTTTCTCTTGTTTCTCCCGTTTTTCGTCCGTTCCATTCGTTCTGGTCTCATGTTTTCCCGTTTTCTGCCGTTTTTTTCTTATTTCTCCCCGTCTTCCCGGTTCACCGTCGTATTTTCCTCGGTTTCCCGTCTCCGTTTTCCTTCGGGCATGTCTAATGCACGGATCAAAGAGACGACCTTTTGCCTTCCAGCTCTATTATGGGGGGGTGGCTCTATTATTTTGACCGTTACTTCCACTTAGCAGACGAACTTTTTCTCAGCTCCAAGTGAACCGATTTTTGAAAGTGAATAGACGAATCGACAGCTCTTTTCCCGCGCTACAAGATGCCGACCACACCGAGCCGATGCGATACCCTCGTCCCGACTTATGAGGGTTTTAAAATGAGATAGAAAATTTCGAAAATAAGCGATATTGAGATGGCTGTAAGTCCCCCAAAACGCATTCAAATGTCAGAAGTGACGTGTTCATTGGAAAGCTCATCCAATTCTCTTCAATTTCAAAAAAAAAACGTCCGATTCGGCGGAGTTTTTGAAAAGTTACGGATCTCCGAAAAAGGAAGGCGAAGTTTTTAGGTGGCTCTATTATTTTGACCGCCACTGTAGGTCAGGGAGGTCTAGAGCTAGGAATAACATCTTCCATAAACTCGTCTGCATAGAAACCGAAAATAGCCGCTCGTACGCGAGCCTCCCGATGACCTTCAGCACAGAGAGTCCCTCTTCCGCCTCGTAGAGAGAGATGTCATCTCTGTTCCGCACAAGGATGAAACCGTGAGACCCGCGCGGTCCAATACTACAGGACAATCATGGTTCAGCTCAGAAATACGAGTTGTTGACTCATTCTTCACTTGTGAGTTGTGAGAGATGAGAGATACGGACTGTCGGTCACTATTGTCGAGGACAGTCCAGGCCAGATCACTACTGGAACCCATAGTCTTGCCTTCTGGACTAAACTGTCTGGCTCTATCTCTGGCTGGGCGAGTGAGACATTCGCTCTCAACGTTTCAGAATTGAGACATCACAGATGGAAAGATTGATGTTCATGGTCGTCTCCAGGGCTCTGGATTCATAGCCTATTCAAGGATGAACATACCTCCTTCATCGCACGCTCTGACCCGAAATCAAGAGCTTCGGTGGGACGCACAGCCGTGCAAAGAAGCAGAAGTACTCTTCACAGACCAGAAGTCAAACTCATATCTTTGCTGACATTTGCCATGACATCTGATGTGGGACCGATACAAGAGAAATGAGTCTACAAATTAGCAAGACCCTGAAGTGAGCTTTTCCCCACAGGAGATAGCGAGGAAAAGTCTAACGTGCTGCCGACAAACTTCAAATCTCAGACATCCAAGGAAGGAATACAAGTGCCACTCCAAGCACTTGAGCTCGTGGGTTCCACCGAAACTTTGAGGATCAAGGAGTCCTCGTTTTGACGGAGTGGTCTACGGGTGCTTGAAGAGTGGGTATTCGAAACTCGCTCGGAAGTTCCGCGTGCCAGGAGCAACAAGATTCCGCTCTGGCTCACCACGCCATGTTGCTGAGTTCGTCATCTTCAATGAAACACGAGAACTGACTAATGTATGCCACCGAAGCGGAGAAAGAGAAAAATATCTCGATACCGCGGTGGGAAATCGGAAATCATCCGCCCGTTGGGCTCCGAAAGCGGCGATACTTGTCCCGGCATTAGTGAATGTGATCCAAGGATCATGTGAGGGGCATCATTCTCTTATCGGAAAGCTGTGAGTGATCACTGATCACATGCAATATTCCCAACTTGTTTGCACCCGTCAGTCGATCGCCGAAACAACGGATTGGCTGTATGCGGACGGAATCGCCTGCGCTGCCACCCTCACCGGCTTGTGTT